ATAGGAGTACCTATATATAAAAAAAATTATTGGTGGATTTTAAGGGGGAATATTGACAGTAACACAATCACAGTGGGGGACTTTAACACCCCACTGTCAGCATTGGAAAGATCATCAAGGCAAAAAAATCAACAGGGAAACAGAGACCTTAAAGAACACACTAGATCTAATGCATTTAATTGACATTTACAGAACATTTCATCTCAAAGCAGCAGAATATACATTCTTCTCAAGTGCCAATGGAACATTCTCAAAGATAGTCTACATGTTAGGGCACAAAGAAAGTCTCTACAAATTCAAGAAGATTGAAATCATATCAAGCATCTTCTCAGATCCCAATGCCATGAAACTAGAAATCAACCACTATAAAAAACCCCTCAAAAGTATTCAAACACATGGAGGCTAAATAGCATGTTATTAAACAATGAATAGGTTATCAGTGAGATCAAGAAAGAAATCAAACACTTCTTGGAAAAAAAGAAAATGAACAGACAACAACTCAAAAATCTAAGGGACACAGCAAAAAGAGTCCTTAGAGGAAAGATCATTGCAATACAGGCATACCTCAAGAAACAAGAAAAATCTCTACTAAACTGTCTAACACAACAACTAACAGAACTAGAATGAGAGCAGCAAGAAAGCCCCAAGGAAGGAAATAATAAAGATCAAAGCAGAAGTTAATGATATAGAGATTAAAAATACAATACAAAAAAAAAAGTCAATGAAAACAAGAGCTGAGTCTTTGAAAAGATAAACAAGATGGATGAACCTTTAGCTAGACTCATCAAAAAACAAAGAGGACTGAAATAAATAAAATTAGAAATGAAAGAGGGGACATAACAACTCACCCAGCAGAAATACAAAGGATTGTAAGAAAATACTATGAACAACTATATGTCAACAAATTGGACAACCTGGGTGAAATGGATGAAATCCTAGCAGCACACAATTTCCCAAGCTTAATCAGGAAGAGTCAGAAACCTGAATAGGACAATAACAACTAATGAAATTGAAGCCGCAATCAAGAAACTCCCAGCAAACAAAAGGCAGGATTTACAGGTTACTTTTACCAAATATTCAAAAAAGAATTAACACCTATTCTCATCAAACTATTCCAGAAAATTCAAGAGGAGAGAAAATTACCAAGCTCTTTTTATGAGGCCAAAATCATGCTAATCACAAAACCAGAAAAAGATACTACAAAGAAAGAAAATTACAGGCTAATATCCCTGATGAACATAGATGCCAAAATCTTCAACAAAATACTAGCAAGCAGATCCCCCAATACATTAAAAAATCATACACCATGAACAAGTGGGATTATTTCCAGGGATGTAAAGCTCCTATAATATTCACAAATCAATAAATGTGATATACCACATAAACAAAGTGAAGGACAAAAATCATATGATCATATCAATAGATACAGAAAAACATTTGAAAAAATTCAGCACCCGTTTCTGATAAAAACTCTCTGCAAAGTGGGAATAGAGGGATCATACATCAACATAATAAGAGCCATATATGACAAACTTACAACCAACATCATACTCAATGGGCAAAAAGTAAAACCATTTCTCTTAAAAACTGGAACAAGACAGGGATGCTCACTTTCACCACTCTTATTCAACATAGTACTGGAAGTCCTTTCCATAGCCATCAGACAGGAAGAAAACATACTCCAAATTGAAAAAGAGGAGGTAAAACTGTTATTATTCACAGATGACATGATATTATACACAGAAAACCTTAAAGACTCCATCAAAGTATTACTAGGTTTGTTAAATGCATTGAGCAAGGTAGCTGAAGACAAAATTAACATCTGGAAATTGATGGCATTTTTATACACCAATAATGAACTCTCAAAAGAGAAACTAAAAAAACAATACCATTTACCATTGCAACTAAAAAAAAATAGGCTACCTAGGAATAAACTTAACCAAGGATGTAAAAAACCTGTACTCAGAAAACTACAGGATAGTGATAAAAGAAATAGAGGAAGATATAAACAAGTGGAAGAATATACCATGTTCATGGATTGGAAGGATTAATGTCATTAAAGTGTCCATAGTACCCAAAGCAATCTATATGTTCAATGCAATTCCTATTAAAATACCAACAGCGTATTTCACAGACCTAGAACAAATATTCCAAAAATTTATGTGGAACTAAAAAAGATCCAGAATAGCTACAGCCATCTTTAGAAAGAAGAACAAAGCAGGAGGAATCACTTTACTGGATATCAAACTGTAATACAAAGCCTTTGTAATCAGCTTTGGTACAGCAACAGACATATAGATCAATGGAACAGAACAGAGACCCCAGAAATAGACCCAGGCCATAATGGTCAGTTAATATTTGACAAAAGAGGCAAGAGCATACAATGGAGTAAAGACAGTCTCTTCAACAAATGGTAATGGGAAAATTGGACAGATACATGCAAAAAAAATGAAACTAGATCCCTAACTTACTCCATACACAAGAATAAATTCAAAATGGAAAAAAATTTAAATGTAAGTTGCAAAACCATAAAAATCCTGGAAGAAAGCATAGGCAGTAAAGTCACAGACATCTCACCTAGTGGTATTTTCACTGATACATCTAGGACAAGGGAAACAAAAGAAAAAATAAACAAATGGGATTATGTCAAACTAAAAATCTTCTGCACAGCAGCAAAACTCAGCCTCAAAATACAAAGGAACCCCAACGTATGAGAGAACATATTTGCCAATGATGTATTAGATACAGGGCTAATTTTAGAAGAGTGCAAAGAAATCAAACTCAAGAAATGGAAAACAAACAATTCAATTAAAAAATGGGCAAAGGACCTGAATAGACAGTTCTCTGAAGAGGACATACAGATGGCCAAGAGACATATGAAAAAATGCTCAACATCATTAATCATCATTGAGATGTGAATTAAAATGATTATAAGTTATCACCTCACACCTGTCAGAATGGTTACCATCAACAAATCTACAAACACGTGCTTGCGAGGATGTGGAGAAAGGGGAATCCTAGTACATTGCTGGTGGGAATGCAGACTGGTGCAACCACTATGGAGAACCGTATGGAGGTTCCTCAAAAAATTTAAAATGGAGTTGCCTTTTGACCCAGTGATCTCACTTCTATGAATATATCATAAGAATCCTGAAACACTAATCAGAAAGAATATATGCACCCCTATGTTCATAGCAGTGCAATTTACAATAGCTAAGATCTGGAAACAGCCCAAGTGCCCATCAGTAGATGAGTGGATAGAAAAGCTGTGCGACATTTACACCATGGAATATTATCCAGCTGTAAAGAACAAGGATCTCATACCTTTTAGGACAGTATGGATGGACCAGGAGAATATTATGCTAAACAAAATAAGCCAAAGACAAATATCACATGATCTCATTTATATGTGGAATCTAAAGAACATAATAATCTGATGAACAAAATTTATTCAGTGACATAGAAGTTGAAACAGACTGACAAATCTCAGAGGGAAGGTGGGGGTGGGTGTTGGTGGGGAGAGATTAACCAAATAATTTATATGCATATATGCATAACCCATGGACACAGACAGTAGTGTATTGGAGGCCTGGGGCCGGTAGTGGGTTTGGGGTGGAAGGTGTCAATGGGGAAAAGAGGGGAAATCTGTAATATTTTGAACAATAAATAAAACCAAAAAAACAATTAACAAAACCACCCCTAAGAGACAGTTCAAAATGACACAAGTTGGAGGAGCCAAAATTATGCTAGTATTGAGTGACACTGACACACCCCTTTAGTGTATTTTGCTAAATTCTGTTTCTCTTCTGAATTTTTCCACTGGCTTCAGAAGCCAAACTTGGACTTTGCCTCTTGAGTTTGTGAGATAAAAAGTTACCAGATTTTTCAAACTAACACCCTTTCTTTTAAAGTTATCAAAAAAATCGGGTTACTGCTGAGACCTGCAACAATGTGATAATGCTAACCAATCAAATGGGGGGAAAGTCTCCAATATCTGGTTATGTTTGGGGGTATGGGTTTTAGTTAAGTTAATTGCTTTTATCAACCCAGAAAATAGTATCTTTCTTTATCAATAAACAGTTTAATATATATTTCCTCATTTGGAATGAAAAATATCTACAAAGATTTTTTGTATCATGAGTAAATTCATTCTAATACATAAAGAGAACTTCAGGGGAATCATTTCACATCATGTAAGAAAACTCTTTGGCATCTTCCAGGGACATATGGTGGTCCTTACTAACCATATAACCTAGTAACTTCCTCTTTTTTTTTTAAATCCTTACTTGGGGATTTTTTTGCCATTGCTTTTCAGAGAGAGTAGACAGGAGAGAGAGATACATCAATTTGTTGCCTCCCACACTCGTCCCAACCAGGGCCAAGCTTGCAACTAAGATACATGCCCTTGGCTGGATTCAAACCTGGGACCCTTCAGTCTACAGGCCAACACTTTAACCACTGAATCAAACAGGTTAGGGCTAACCTAGTAACTTCTTCACAACTTAAGAAAAGTTGCCAAAATTGATATCCAATAACATTCTGAGTCATAAGAATGAAAGTGTCAGAAAGGACTCTTCCCTTTTAAATTCTTATAGAATTCATTTGGAATGTAATAGAAATGTAGAGCATTGGTCTGGCAGACAGATAGTAAATATTTTAAGCTTTTGGGGCCAAATGGTCTTTGTCACTACTATTCAAATCTGCTGTTGTAGTGTTAGTTGCCATTAAAAATACTTAAACAAGTATGGCTAGGTTCCACTAAAGTTTTAGTTATAGACATTGAAATTTGAATTTCATATAATTTATACATACCATGAAATGCTGGTGTTGTAAAAAAAATCGCACCATTTGAAAATGTAAAATCCATTCAAGTCTTGGGACATTACAAAAACAGGTGGCAGAGAGACAGGGTAAGCATACAATTGCCCTTCTTTCACTTTCATCTGATAGAAACACAGATGGCCACTTACAGGAGATATACTGCCAGATTCTCAAGTTACCTGGGGAGTTCTGAGGTGAGGAACAGGGTGAACAGCGGGGAGAGAAGCTGTACCCAGGGTGGAAGGCAGCTTGCAGGGGGATGTAGGACATAATCTCTTCTTCAAAGAGACTGTGAAGTAAAAAAATAAAGTTTATTCTCTATCCATAAGAGAGTGGTCATGAATTGGGGTAATAGCAGTTACAGTTCTCACAAAGGAACAAAAACACTTAGATTCAGACATCCTACATAGTATTAAAAAGATAAGCACATCCGGCATGCAAATTCTCAGTGTTATTTTTTCTCAGTGTTATTTTAAACCCTAATTAATCTTACAATAAAGCCTCCATCAAGTACTATATTAAGCTCTTGTTACCTGAACTGTAAATTTAAAGAAGACAGTGGATAGCATGTATAAGATGGGGGGCTCTAGTTCAGTCACGGTCACTAGCAACCTCTAGAACAAATGGTGCTTCAGTCTGGGTTGTAATGAAGAGCTGCCCAGGGCAGCTCTTCCAGAAGCTTTTTCAGAATTACTTCAGGCTTAGCCTCTTACCTCAGCAAAATGACTAGATCTGCATCACAGGACAACTTTTCAAGCCCATTATTACCCTCAGTCCGAATGTAATGGATTTTCTCCCTAAAATATTATGGGAAAGAAAATAAGAGTTACACACCAACACAGAAGCTAAGAAATGAATCCTTTTCTGATCCCTTGTTTTCTCTTCCAATGTTGCTGAATATTGATGTCTTAATTAGTGTCAATTGTATTTTTGGTATTTTAAGTTCGTATTGCAGATTCCCAGGATACTCTACAAGGAATCACCTCTCCTCAGACTCACACAGGGACAGAAGCTAAGGAACTCAATGAAGGTAACTCTTTGAATAGCTATGACAGTCAGGAGTGGAACTGGCAAGGAGAGCAGCTGAACTGTTATGGGCCCATGACTCCTTGGAAATCATGGAAAGAAAGTGAGAGGATGTCTCTTGAGAAGCCTTGTTCCTGACAAAAAATGTATAAGGCATGCTAAGCACAAAGTCTGACCTCCAGAACACCGAGTCTCTCAGTTGGTCTTAGCACAGGCCTAAATTTCTCTGTTTGATTACAGTTTATGCATTCTGACCCTTTTTTACAATCTCCAGCTCCAACCTGGCAAATTATTCCAATAAGTCTATGGATAAATAGCATTTATTTTGATCAAATGAACTTTGTACTTGGCTTTTCTGACATTCAAATATTTAAATATTATTAGCACCATAGCCAAGATTCATTCCATTGCATGTATGCTTCAAATATTTTTAAAAAATTTTCTTGAAGCAATGCAGCATAAATTTGGGAATATTTAGAGATCAGTTTTTAAAAAAATATTTAACTTTTAAATTTCTTTTGCATGTTGGAATTCTAAAGCCCAATCTAACGGTGTTAGGAGGTGGGGCCTTTAGGATGGGATTAGGTCATGAAGGCAGAGCCTTCCTGTATGAGATTAGTGCCCTTGTCTCTTCTTACATGTGAAGATATAAGAAGTCTGTAACTTGAAAGAAGGCCCTCACTCTGATTATGGTAACACCAGTTCTTGGACTTGAAGTCTCCAGGCTGTGAGTAATAAGTTTCTGATGTTTATAAGCCACCCAGTCTGTGGTATTTTGTTACAGCAAGCCCCCCAAAACTAAGACAGACACCATCATTCATTGATCTTCAGAAGTATCACATCTAGCTATCATTCTTTTCCGTTCCTCACCCACCATGTTCAAGCTGTTATCAGCCTTTATTGTTTTTGCATTCACAATATCACCACAAGCTCTTCCCTTCCCTCCATCTATATTATTATCCATACAAGTAGATAAATACCACAGTCTCCTAGTAGCCCCCTCTCCTCTATCTTATGTCCCACCTTCAGTATAGCTATTCACAGAACAACCCAACTGGTCATTAAAAATACAAATGTACCTATCTTTCTTTCCTGCTGAAAATTCTTTAATCACTTTTTAAATAAAATTTACTTCAAATAAATTCCTAACTCCTTCCCATTGCTGACGAAGCCTCCTCCAATTTCACCATAGTCTCAATCCACCCTTATGTCATACTGGCCTTTTTTCACTTTTCACTTACATCAGGCCTTTTCTTCCTTGGGCCCTTTGCACTCTGATCCCCACCTTGCATCTTAGGGACAGTTTCTTCTCATCCTCCAGGTTTTAGTTTAGTGTCACCTACCTAGAAAAGCCATCCCTGTATTCTGCTTAGGAGTTATGCCCACTTTCTCTGTACCAGTATATTATCCACTGTCACTGAGTTCTGATAACATCCTTCATGACCCGTAACAAATTTTATAGCTATATATTTGGCTTTAAAAAAAAACCCAAACCATACTTGCCTGTCATCTGTCTCCTTTAATAGATTGCAAGTGCCGTGAGCATAAGACCAATGTCTGTTTGCTTGCTACTACACACATAGCCTTAGCACAGTCATGATTCAGAATGGTTGCACAATAAAAGCACTAGTTGAAGGAAAGAATGAATGAATAAGGACTGCTACTGTGACCCTTAAAGTTAACAGATATCATTAACCTCTGGGTTTTCTGACTCCATCTTCTTCCTCTATGTGTGGCTTCCTTATGATTCACTACTAAAAACAATTTGCTGAGCACTCATTCTCGACTCTCTAACCCAGCAACTGGCTTTGTGGACCCAAGACAGTGAATTCATGGCTCCCTGAAAATAGCAATGGCTGAAGCAGAATAGGGGTCACTGTCTTCACCTGGGTACCACAGAGGAAGCATTAACTTCTTCCTCTGGACAGGATCATGGGGAGAGGTGCTTTTATTTTCAACTCTTGGACCTTTAAAAATAAAATGGGGTTGACTCACACTCACATCACACCCAGGAGGAAAGGCCCAATCATAGTAAGCAGTGCCCAGCTACCTAGTTCCCTTACACCTGACCTCCTAAAGAGCAAGTTCTTACTCTTGTCATTCTACCTTTTCAATTTCATCCCCTCTTAGTTTCTGATGTCACTGTAGGTCAACTATTTTTGATGAAATATTTGGATTCTCAACGTGAAGTCCCCAAGCCTTTTAACTATTTGAAATTATATGCAAAGGTTTATGTTTATATGTGGGGGAAAGTCTATAATGTTTCTCATCAGATTCTCAACGAATTCATTACTTTAAAAAAGGGAGCAGGAAGAGATTAACCAAAGAACTTATATGCATATATGCATAACCTATGGACACAGACAATAGTGTGGTAAAGGCCTGGGAGGGGGGGGTTGAGTGGAGGAGGTCAATGGGGAAAAAAGGGAGACATCTGTAATGCTTTCAACAATAAAGATAAATTGAAAAAATAAAAGGTTATTAGTTTCCGTACTAAATAAGTTCCATGGTTTTTCTGACTCCTAGTCCTCCATGTGTGGAAAATCATAATTGTACAACTCCACATTGCAACAAAACTTTTAATATATTTTTAAAATTTTTTAAATACTGTGATATTACACAGTAAGACCAGAAAGTTTACTTCTCTTTGAAAATATGTTATACTCTTTTACACATGGAGGTTACTTTGTTTTTACTTTCAAATTATTTAAATGGGACTCTAGTGGCTTTGATGAATTAAAATTCCTCTAAAAAGTGAGCAGTGAACTTAGTGGTAGAAGCAGTAACATAAAAAATATTCAAGACCAGAAATGTGTCAGAAACTTTTCAATTAGTACAACTCCTCTGAAAATTCTTTGGAAATTCTCTTAAATTATTGTGTACTGTGAGAAAATAAAGCAGTCCATGAATCAATTACCTATATGACTGAGTATGGCACTGCCTTTTGTGCCACAGTAATGAAATTTGGGCAGAGCTGAATACAAGTGGAAGTGACAATACTCAAGCTAAAATAAAGCTCAACTAGTTATGCTAAAGACCCTTCCTTCACTCTATAAGTAGTGTTTTCTATCTTTAAATTAAAGGACCAGGTTCTGAGGGATCAGAGTGAGTACAAAAACAAGGTCCTTCACTAAAGAGTTTATAGTGTTGTAGGGAGACATAAGTACATGATGGAATAAAAGAGATAAGGGGAAAATATCTTAGAGGTACAAAAAGAATGTTTAAAGCAAGGCAAAAGAAATACTAAATTCTGACTGAATCATGAAATCTTTGCATTTGATTTGAATCTAAAATAGGATGAGATATCTGTAAGAGAGAAACCATTACAGGAAGGGTGAAGGTAGGAGAGAGAGAATAGCTTAGTTGGTGGAGGTGGAAGATACTAGGAGAAAAATACTAGCACAGGATGGAGAATTAGGTTAGGGCCAGACTTTGTAGACCAAAGAAATTGTGCTTAGAAATCTTTATTTCATATGTAATAAGAGCCATGGAAGCTTTTTAGAGGGGCAGGAGTGACATATTTGGTCTGTTCTATAGGAAGATAATTCTGGTTATAGTAGGGTGATAGGGCATATCTTCTAAGAGACCCCAGCCAAATCCAGGAGAAAAATGATGGGAATCCAAATACTATCCATGATAAAGAGAGAGAATAAAAGGGCTGGAAGAGAAAAAGTAAGGAGGTAAATGTTTAGATGCAGAGATGAAGAAAGAAGACAGAATTGAGATAACAGGCAATCTGGAAGATGGTGGTTCTAATTTACAAAGGTAAAAACACAGGGAAAAAGGTGTCAATGAAGGGGGGTGCTGTAGGGACAAGAATATAATTAATATGTTCTGGGAGGATTAATAAGGATTTGAATAACAAAGGGGTTATTTTCCAATGTTAGTGATTTATTGAAGAAGTTATACAAAATAGAATTTTACAGTTGTCAGACAGATTCAAAAGACCACCAAATGGGAGGTAAGGGATTAGCTGCGGTAAATGACTGTATTCTCACCCACTTTGTCTAATCTTTTACACACATCCCCGTTTAAGTATTTCAGTAGTGGCTACATTGTGACCCTATTTCAGTGATGAGGAGACTAAAGGTAGATGATTGAATAACATGACTTGATTGTTAGCCCCATGTGAACAAGAATTCAAACTCTAAGGGGACACTCTTAACATCCATGCATCTCCAGCTTTTGAAATTCTGAATAGTACACTGAAGGAGAGAGGTGTTTGAATATCCTGGTGAGAAAGTGAGACTTAACTTCAGAAGATATTTTCAATTTTTATTACTTTGTGTGACGATTCTTTCCAAATGAAATGATTTAGATTTCCAGATACACTTGTTCAAAAATGACCCTAATAAACAACAGAACATATATGATACTTTTTAGAAAAATTGAAACATGTATTATACTTTCTGTTTGCTTCTTTTGAATATAGTCATCTTATATATGGTTTATAAACCACCATGAAATAATTTTATTTCAAAAATTTATATGATGCTTTACATAAATAATTTTTAATTAAACTTATTTTGCTCCCTTTCTGTGCTTCCTCCAAATCAATGGAAATCATTTTAGTATCATATGAGTAATATGTAATCTGACAATATGGCTATTGCTGACTGCTACACTTCTGAGAACATTAAAAACTTCTGGCCCCTTCATTTTGATTATTCAAATTATAATTTAAATGCATGGATAAAAAACATCAAAAGCTTCTGCTATGTTTTTCCACAGAGGTGTTGCCCCATCTGGAAAAAGAGCTGAGATCTAGAGTTATAGGGGTGAGGGACAAGCCCGTACCTGAGTGTGTGGTTTCTTGCCAAGCTTGGCTGACGTTCTTGTAGCATTTCAAAAATGTTTGGCTGGCGAAGAAATGCCACAATCTTGTCATTATATGCTGAAACAGACAAAAGTGCAGAGTTGTGGTTGAGTCTGCAGACCACAGATGATTTCTCTGATGATTGGAAGATGGCTACTTGATACCAGAATTAATTTAGAAGTTTGAAGGGCGGGTAGCATACGCATCAAAAAATGTAGGTGTTTGCTGTGATATAATAGCATTAATAATTTTAAACAATCACACCAAAAGTGAACTAGATCTGAGTTAATCATCCTAATAGTCTAGAAACTTAACTAAGTATTAACTCATTACTATGTGAACAAATAAAAAATAAAGTACTTCTCCCAAGAGGGAAGTCCTACTCTCTTCTTTACAAATTTTCTTGGTCATTTTGCCAGTTATTACAGCACAAGATTCTTTATGAGTTCAAATAAATCTTTTTCTGAGCACTTGACACTTATGGCCTATGGCCATATGTTGATTTCCCAACAGTAATAATAGAATCCCTTTAGACTCTCACCTCATTTACTCTGATAAAAGTGGCATGTGTTTTGAAAAAAGGGAGCTGAGTGTATAAATAAAGACTGTGTCAACTTATTCCCATACACACAAGGAAAGAGAGATTTAAATTAAAAACTGCATTTAACAGCAACAAAATTCATGGTCTCATTAAATTGTGCTCCCCTGGACTTGGCTAAGAAATCAATGAATGGAGTTAAGAAGAAGGGAAATGTAGGTCTGGAAAACAGTAGAGAAGAGAGAGTTGAAGGATGAGAGAGGACAAAGTGAGGAGGAAGGGGAAAGGGAAAAGAGGCAAAGGAGAGGTAGGATGGGAGCAAAGGATAAAGGAGGAAACTATACCATAAAAGAGGAGGAAAAAGAACTCCACAGAATCCTCAATATTAAAGGATTTAAATAAGAAAAACAAGGTTAATTATTGGGTATCTAGGAGTTCTAAAAGCATGATACATACCCAGTGGCAACAGCTCATGTTGATGCTGGCTTCGAATAGCAGCTACTAGGCTGTGTCCCGCCCGGGCCATTAAAGAGGTTCCTCTGTTTCTAGAGACATCTGAGGCCTAATTCCAAAATAAAATTATTAGTTTTTGCTCACTGAGTATGATGTTAGCTGTGGGTTTGTCATATATGGTCTTTGTTATGTTGAGGTATGTTTCCTCTATTCCCACTTTGCTGAGAAGTTTTTTTTTTTTTTTATCACAAAGAGGTGCTGTATTTTACTGAATGTTTTTGTGCATCTATTGATATGATCATATGGTTTTTGTCCTTCATTTTGTTTAAGTGATGTGTCACATTTATTGCTTTGCTGATATTGTACCAACCATGCATCCCAGGAAAAAATTCCACTTGATCATGGTGTATGATTTTTTTAATGTATTGCTGAATCCAGTTCACTAACATTTTATTGAAGATTTTAGCATCTATGTTCATCAGGAATATTGGCATATGATTTACTTTCTTTGTAGTGTCTTTATCTGGTTTTGGAATTAGGATAATGCTGGCCTCTTAAAATAAGCTCAGGAGTTTTCCCTCCCCTTGAATTTTCTGGAATAGTTTGAGAAGAATAGGAGTTCTTCTTTGAATCTTTGGTAAAAATTTATCTGTGAAGCCATCTGGTCCAGGATTTTTGTTTGTTGGGAGTTGTTTTTTTTTTTACTGCTTCAATTTCACTAGTTGTAATCTGTCTATTCATATTTTCCAATTCTTCCTGAGTCAGTTTTAGAAGATTGTTTGTTTCTAGGAATTTATCCATTTTGTCCAGATTGTCCAATCAGTTGGCATATAGTTGTTCATAATATTTTCTTACAATCCATATTATTTATTTGGTGTCAGTTGTTACTTTTACTCTTTCTCATTTTATTTGGGTCTTCTCTCTTTTTCTTTATGAGTCTGGTTAAAAGTTTATCAATTTTGTTTATCTTTTCAAAGAATGAGCTAAAAGTGTTTCCCTTAATATGGAAAGCCAGACAGGGATGTCCACTTTCACAGCTCTTATTAGACATAGTACTGGAAGTCTTAGTCACAGCAATCACTCAAGAAAAAGAAGTAAAAGGTATCCAAATTAAACAGAAAGAAGCAAAGCTTATTATTTGCAAGTGACATGATGCTGTATGTAAAGAACTCTAAAGATTCCACCAAAAATGACTAAAATCTATAAATGAATTCAGTAATGTAGTAGGATACAAAAGAAATATTTAGAAATTAGTTGCATTTTTATACACCAATAATGAACTATCAAAAAGGGAAACTAAGAAAACAATCCTATTCACTTCCCATTCACAGCTGCTTCAAAAAGAATAAAATACCTAGGAATAAATTTAACCAAGAATGTAAAAGACCGGTACTTGGAAAATTATATAAGACAGTGAAGAAAGAAATTGAAGAAGGCACTAATAAGTAGAAGCATATACTGTGTACATGGATAGGAAGAATTAACATCATTAAAATGTTTATACTACTCAAAGTAATCTATAGATTCAATGTAATTACTATCAAGATACCAATGACGTATTTCACAGAACTAGAACAAATATTCCAAAAATTTATATGGAACCAAAAAAGATCCCGAATAGTAACAGCAATCTTGAAAAAGAAGAACAAAGTTGGAGGTATTACAGTACCTGATATCATACTATACTACAAGGCCATAGTAATCAAAACAGCATGATACTGGCATAAAAACAGACATATGAATCAGTGGAACAGAATAGAGAGCCCAGAAATAAACCCATGCTTTTATGGTCAATTAGTATTTAACAAAAGAGGCAAAAACATACAAAGGGATAAAGATAGTCTATTCAATTAATGGTGTTAGGAAATTTGGACAGATACATGCAAAAAAACAAAACTAGATGGCCTTCTTGCACCATGCACAAGACTAAACTCAAAATGGATTAAAGACTTAAAATGTTAGACTAGAAACCATAAAAGTCCTAGAAGAAAACATAGGCAGTAAAATCTTAGACATTTCTCGTAGCAACATTTTTTCTGACATATCTCCTCAGGGAAGGGAAACCAAAGAAAAAATAAACAAAAGGGACTATATTAATCTAAAAAGCTTTTGTACCACAAAGGAAACCATCAACCAAATGAAAAGACAATCCACTGAATTGGAGAACATATATGCAAATGATATATCTGATAAAGGGTTAATAAACAAAATTTATGATGAACTTATACAACTCAATATACCCCAAAAATCTAATTAAAAAATGGGGAAAATACCTGAATAGATACTTCTCCAAAGAGGACATGCAAATGGCCAATGGCCATTTAAAAAGACGCTCAACATCACTAATCATCAAAGAAATGCAAATTAAAACCACAATGAGATATCATCTAACAACTGTCAGAATGGCCATCAAAAAAAATCAACAAAGAACAAGTGCTGGCAAGGATATGGAGAAAAGGAAACCCTAGTTCACTGTGGGTGAATGCTGATTGGTGCAGCCGCTGTGGAAAGCAGTATGGGGTTACCTTAAAAAATGAAAAGTGGAACTGCCTTACGGCCCAGCTATTCCAATTCTGGGAATATATCCAAAGAAACTTGAAGTAAAAATTTGAAAGAATGTATGCACCCTATGTTAATTGCAGCATTATTTACAGTAGCCAAGATCTGGAAGCATCCCAAATGTCCATTAGTACATGAGTGGATAATAAAGCTGTAGTACATTTACATAAGGGATGCCACTCAGTCATAAAAAGGAACTTCTATCCTTTGTGACAGCATGGATGAACCTGGAGAACATATGCTAAGTAAAATTAGTCAGAGAATGACAAGTACTGTATTATCTCGCTCATGTGTGAAATTTAAAAAAATGAACTAACAAGCAAACTAGAGATAGACTCATAGAGGGCAGGTTGGCAGCTGGTGTGTGGTGGTGAGTTGGATGTGGGAGTGGAGGGATTGAGAAAAAAAGGAAAAAAAAAGAAAAAACTCATGGACAGGAACAACAGTGTGATGATTACCAGGGGTAGGTGGGGGAGGTGGAGGAGGGTTTTGGGGAATAAACGGTGATTGACAGACACTTGACTTAGGTGGTGAATAATACAATGTACAGATGATGTGTTGTAAATTTATACACCTGAAACCCATACAATTTTGTTAAGCAGTGTCACCTCTATAAATTAAAAATAATAAATAAATAAATAAATAAATAAATAAATAAATAAATAATAAATAAATAAAATTATTAACACTGGAAGTGTCATCAATTTCAGATGGTCTTTTAATACCAATTTTTCAAAAATGGTGGGTAAAAGACCCTGACATCACCTAAGATATAAAACCAGTAAGGGGTGGGGATAAAAAATGGCTGCAGTCTGAGGAACTGCCCTGCACTTGCTCCCAACACCAGACCAGACTATTCCACAGAACATTCAACTTGAAAAATCAGTTGACAAAAGCTGATCAGAAATACTGTGAGTGGGGAGCGTGGAGAAAGGACAGAAGAAGATGCAGAGTGGGTGAGCCAAATAGCTGGAGGGAAGGTGCGGCAGCAAAGCTCCTGCCCCCTGGAAGTGTTTTTGGCACCAGAGATTACCAAACAAGAGCAACAGGGAAGGGAAGGGGAGCCCACATAGCATCAGACAGTGGTAATTCAGTGGTAATTCAGTCAAACAGGGGAGGGGGGGAGGACTCAGGTCACCTTATCCCACCCAAAAAGCTAGTGCTTGGTTAGGACATCAGCCTGGTAAACTCACCCAGATCGGTGTCTGTGGGAGGGGCCACTCAGCAGAAATCCAGACGAGTGGAGGGGTCTGAACAGATTAACCAGCGGTGAATCTGAGGGGTTATTTTCTGAAAGAACTATTACTGATACCAAAACCAGGCAAGGATAACACACACAAAAATAGAGGATTACAGATCAATATCTTTGATGAACTTGGGGCCAAAATTCTTAAACAAAATGTCATCAAATCAAATACAAAGTACCTTAAATCAAGGAACTTATATTTTCATAAACATAACCCATGGACACAGGCATTGGTATGGGGAAAGCCTGGGGGTGGGATGGATGCGGGATGGAGGGGATCAATTCAATGGGGATAAAAAGGGGACATCTGTAATATTTTCAACAATAAAGATAAAGAACTTAAAAATAAAAGAATAATACATCACAATCAAATAGTGTTCATTCCAGGGATGCAAGGATGGTTCAATATATGCATTGACCAATGTGATACGACACATTAACAAAATAAAATAGAAAGAATTATATAATCATATTAATAGCAGAAAAAGCATTTGACAAGATACAACATCCATTTCTGATTAAAATACTTCCTAAAATGGGTAAAGAAGAAAAGTACCATAGTAAATACCATCTATGCCAAACCCTCAGATGGTATTATATTGAATGATGAAAAATTGAAGGCTTTTTTGCTAAGATAAGGAACAAGACAAAGATACCCACTCTCACCACTGTTATTTAACATAGTACTGGAAGTCCTAGCCAGAGCAATCAGGCAAGAAAAAAAAGCATCCAAATTTGGAATGAAAAAGTAAAGCTGTCCCTATTTGCAGATGATGTGAAATCCATAAAGACTCCACCAAAAGACAATTAGAAGCAATAAACAAATACAGTAAATTCGAAGGATACAAAAGAAATATACAAAAGGTGTTGAGTTTCTAAATACTAACAACAAATTATCAGAAAGAGAAATAAAGAAAACAATCCCATTTACAATTGCAATGAAAAAATAAAATACCTAGGAATAAAGCTAACAAAGGAGGTAAAGCACTTTTACACTAAAAAGTACAAGCCATTGTTGAAAGAAATTAAAGAAGACACAAAGAAATGGAAAGATATTTCATGTTCATGAATTGAAAGGATTTTATTGAGTTGTAAATTTTCATGGTTTTGCAAACCAATGTCACCCCAATAAATTCAATAAAAATGGAAAAATATATAAAATAAAGGCCACACATATATGGCAACTATTTTTCAACAAAGAAGCCAAAAACATACAATGGAAAAATGAGAGTCTTTTCAATAAATGGTATTGGGAAAACTGGAAAGACACATGCAAAAGATTAAATCTAAACTGCTATATGACA